GGGTTTTGAGGTTTTGGGGTTTTGGGGTTTTGAGGTTAAGGGTTGGGGCTTCAGAATTTGCAAGGCCGCACTGACCCAAAGTTTGCCGGAATCTTTCAGGTACGCCACCGAAACATGGCGTCTAGAGAGAGCCTCGTACTCACACGTCACCCAACACTATAAGTGGTCCTACACTTCTGATTCGATTAAACCATACAAACCGACTTCTGATGCCGAATCTTCCTGCTTCGCCTTCTCTACGATCCCAGTGCAGCTTCACCGTCGCAGCTGAGGCCTCGGATGCTTTGCTTTTCGGGGACAGGGGCACAAGTCTTTCAAAACCTTCAATCCGGAACGATCGAAGCACACCAAGCCAAAGGCCGGAAATCCCCAGCCTTGACTTAGGGCTCACGGTTTACAGCGCAAAAGTCATGAGACAGGAAGGCCCCGGCTCATGGTAAAGAACTGAATTGAACACGTTTGGGATTCCAGGTTTTTTGCTTCTGGAGCCACTTATCCCACATCTCTGCATCGCACAAGTCTGCTGTCTTCGGTGGCAAAGAAGTGGAGGTCGGATCTTCTACAGCTCGTTGCAGTCAAGCGGCGACGGCGATGGCCCGGCGAGCATTCACGGCAAACATGGCCACGGCAGTTTGCGGCCACACGAGATGTGGATCACGGCTGCAATTCTACTGACGTTACTGGATGCATAAAAATCTCTGAGGTTGTGAGTCGCGCATGATAATCGGAGCATGACTCTCGAGATCGAGAGACACCATCCATCGTTGCGACCGATGGCTAGAGTCATGGAATGCGGTTATACGGGTGATGTTTACAGCTTGCTTCTCCTGCTGGCACGTCGTGTCGAAAGCAATGATTCCGGACACCTGTTCTCACAATCCTACATGTCCTGCACGCATGATGAGGCTCTGGCAGGCTCGTGCTCTCGCAGCCGTGTCTTTCTCAACAGAACCCAAGCCAACATGGCGCACACGTCTGTTTCCGAACTTGCCTGTACCAGCATCTTCTGGCTGATTGGTGTCAACATTCCCATTAATTATCGTCGGCCAATCCAAATCAATCTACAAGAAGGGATGGCTGCGGCTGGACTAAGCTCCCGTCCCGCACTTCGGCATGCTCCGAGGCTGCTTGACTCGGGCGGTTGGCGAAGCCATCAAAGTTTTGATTGTTTGGGCCTAGCCGGAGACTGCCTGTGAATATAGCACTCGGGCCGGCTGTCGTCAACAGCATCGAAGAGCCGATTCGCGTAAGCTAGCATCGAGTGGTCGTTTAGACACTCTGAGGTGAGCTGGCATTCCTTCCAGCGACGGACCTGCCTCCGTGAGCTCAGCACCCTCAGCTCTGCAAAGTGCTGATAGCCTCTGGCAAAATCCTCCAACAGCTGGAAGTCCGGCCGGCTTAGCACCTGCTGTGCTGCGGCGGCCACGACCTGCGAGGCCACGAACCCTTTCACGCTGCCCAGATCGTCGACCAGTCCGTTCTGGACACTTTTGGCCGCCACTTCCACGAACTGCCTGAGATTGATGGCGCCCCAGGCACGCGGGCAGGGGTCGTTCTCATTGATGTAGTTCACCGCTCGCTTCTGCGCAAACGCCTTGAATACTCGTGCCTGCTGGGAGTCACCACCGAAGACCATCGGAGAGCCAAAGGTGACGCATCGCAGATCGAAACCGGACAGAAGGGACGCAACAATCGGTGGAGCACCGTCCATCTTCTTCCAGAACAAATAGAACAGCAATGCTGCATACATTCCTCCCAGAGAATGCCCTGTGAAAACCACCCTCTGCACCCCGTTCTCACTCGCTTCCTCCAGTCGCTTCAGCAAGCCTTGCTCCAGCCAGAAGCTTGCCGCGTGAAGTGTGCTTGCTGCTCCGCTGTGCACAAAGAAGTCGGGATCTTGAGTCATGGCGTGATTTATCTCCAGATTCCAGTTGAGAAAGTCTAGGATGTAGGAAGTACCTTTAAAGGCGACATACAGCACCTTACCGGTTGGGAGCTCAGCCGTTACCGTTGCGATCTTGACGGCTGAACCAAAGTCTCCAGGCTGAATCACTCGATGAACTTGCATGGAAGCCTGCTCAAGACAAGGGGGTCCCGGCTCGTCGCTGTACACCCAGTAGCTCAGCACAGCTGCCACGAGCTCGGCGAAAACGGGCGTATGCTGGACAGCGCTATGGTGCAATCTGAAGCTAAGAGGCTGAGCTGGCCATGGTATGCATGGTGGCAACTCCACGACCAAAACCGCCTCAGCATTAGCAGGCACCGCCACTGCCTTGCCATTCACGTTGCAGACGGACAGATATTTCCCTCCGCGGCTTGCATCAATGCCTGCGGGGAGGTCGATGGCCGAAGCCTGGCCACTTACAGGGTCCACCACCAAAATCTTCTCAGCATTGTACGGCACCGCCACTGCCTTGCCGTTCACATTGCAGACGGACAGATATTTCCCTCTCCTGCTTGCATCAATGCCTGCAGGGAGGTCGACGGCCGAAGCTTGGCCACTTACGGGGTCCACCTCCAAAATCTTCCCAGCACGGCAAGGCACCGCCACCGCCTTGCCGTTCACCTTGCAGACGGACGAAAACTTCCACCCCCTGCTTGCATCAATGCCTGCGGGGAGGTCGATGGCCGAAGCACGGCCACTTACAGGGTCCACCACCAAAATCCTCTCAGCAAAAGCAGGCACCGCTACTGCCTTGCCGTTCACGCTGCAGACGGAGTCGTATTTCCACGGCCCGCGTGCATCAATGCCTGCAGGGAGGTCGATGGCCGAAGCCTGGCCACTTACAGGGTCCACCACCAAAATCTTCTCAGCAAAAGCAGGCACCGCCACTGCCTTGCCGTTCACGCTGCAGACGGACTCGTATTTCCACGGCCCGCGTGCATCAATGCCTGCAGGGAGGTCGATGGCCGAAGCCTGGCCACTTACAGGGTCCACCACCAAAATCTTCTCAGCATGATAAGGCACCGCCACTGCCTTGCAATTCACATTGCAACCCGACAAGAATTTACCGTCGCTGCTTGCATCAATGCCTGCCGGGAGGTCAATGGCCGAAGCATGGCCAGTTGTAGCGTCTACTACCAAAATCCTCTCAGCATTACGAGGCACCGCCACTGCCTTGCCGTTCACGTTGCAGACAGACCAAAACTTGTTTTTGATATCCCTGCTCGCATTAATGCCTGCGGGGAGGTCGGTGGCCGAAGCCTGGCGAGTTGACGGGTCCACCACCACGATCTTCTCTGCACGAAACGGCACAGCCACTGCCTTACCCGTTACGGTGCAGGCGCATGCACATGCTGCAGCGCCTGCGGGCAGGTTGATGGCTGTAACTTTTCCTTCTCCCTGTCCCATGGCGACAATTGTGAGCGACAGAGCTGCAGGTGTTGTGTTCTCACCGGTTCTCCGAACTCCCCGGAGTGTTCGAGCCTCCGGACAACGGAACAGTTCAAGGTGAATCTTCGTGCCATGGGTCTAAGATCTGTTGTCACTTGGTACTACACGTGGAAGAGACGTATCCTTCCACCATCTTCATCTTGCACATCTCATGACATCACCCCATGGTGCAGGCTCTTTCACAATGCGGCTGTTGCTCATGTCATCGCCGCAAACTCACGCAGGCTAGAGCTGAGCGCCTGGGCCTGGCAGGAGAAGCTGTTTCAGGTTTCTTGGCTGCCTTAACATCGAAGTTAGGGTATTTTTGTCTATACCGAGGTATACCGGCGCTATCTGATTATGCTATTATCTCAGGGGCTCGTGCGGAGATCGCTTAAAGTTTGTGTAAGACACGACCGCAGCCAGTAACATCACTGAATGGTGATGGCTGTTTACTTTCAGGATCATAACATCCACACTCTCCTGCGGAAAAGGCAGAAAACTGTTGTTGGCCACATGCGGCTACTTTTTTGAATGCATACAGAAACCTGCAAAACCTTTTCAAACCAACTAGAGAATGTTTGCGAGCCCTTCTAAAGATTTTCAGCCCACGGAAGCCAACATGGGGAACTTAATTCTGTACGGGGCTGCAGTGGTCACGAGCATGTAAACCTAACTCCGGCTTCCGAGGCGCGAACAGCATCGAGAATCGGTGGTTTGCGAAGTTTAGCTGGTCCTAGAGTTCAACCGTAATGCTCCATACATGAGTGGCCCAAAGCATAGAGCATCACAGACAACACGACATCTCACATAACTGCCAAAGTGATTCTATGGTTGTAAGTACTGTTCCACATCATCTAACACCGAAACCCTCTAGAAACCCAGCGATGCCCATTCACCGGAATCACAATCCGAACCCCGGAAGAAAATCATCCAATATCATCCATTGTCTAGCGGCGCAAAAACTACCAATCCCTAAACCCCTAAACCCCTAAAACCCTAAACCCTAACCCCTAAACCCCTAAACCCCTAAACCCTAAACCCTAAACCCCTAAACCCTAAGCCGCCAGACGAAAGTGTCGGCTGGGAGCTCGGCTCAAGCAGCTACCACAACCTCAGCCATCATTAGGACATGACTCTCCGGTCCGAATTAGGGTAATTCCGAGAACGGAGCCTCCAAAAACAGCTCAGTAGAGGATAACGTCAGATGACGTTCACTACTACGTGTGGTCACAATACCAGTGAGTCGTATGATGCTGACTCTGGAGGTTGCTGGTCCTACACCCCGAGGTGTGCATTGTGCAAAGATATGCAGACACAGTTTCGTGACCATATCAGATCGCCATAACAGTACCTTTTCAGTTCTCAGCCGTTTCTTATGGTCTGCAGACAGGTATGAGCGCTCCTTCCCTGAACATCAGTGCCAAAACCTGCTCAAAACTTCAGTAAAGAAGCTATATCACGGAGCTGAACATTGCAAGATTTGGTGCTGGCGAAGTATGTTAAGGCTTAAGGCTGCTGAAGCTTGTGGAGAGTTGTACGGTGTTGAACGGACATCTCTGTGGCTTGGACAGCATGCCTGGGTTACAAAGGTATGACGGATATGAGTCCTGCTTTAGATCTCCGTCGCCTTCTAGCTTTCTGTAACCTTGCTACATTCGGTAACGCGTATGCTGAACCTTTCGGGGGGGGGGGACTCTGCAGCATTCAGCTGTGCATGCTGTGCTTCCTGCATTGCATGGGGACGATGCTTCCAAAATGCTCGTGTCAGCCTCTGTCTACTCTGCATGGCTTCAACCAGAAGGATCGCGACACTAGCCGAAAGGAACCCTGAGCCGTCGACTGAGACTGCAAGTGATCTGGCGGTCGTCTCAGAGATCAGACTCGAAGCTCAGGAGAGCCTGAGGCCTGAGGCAGTGAGTTTCACCATCTGCTCAAAACATAAGAACCTGACAACACTCGAGTTAAAGAGGTGAGCTCCTGAATTTCAGCATTTGGGTTTCTGGAATGCAGCATATAGGATCTCTGAAGACCACAGCCGTGCTCAGATAATTGTTGCGTCTTTTCTCGCATCAGCAGCATGCTGGTGCCGGCCACTTGCGTTTGCGAAGCGAAATGGCTGTCTGTCCAATACGCTGCTTACACCCAACAACTTCAAAGTGTGAGAGATTCTGCCTGTGACTACACCCCAAACGGACGCCAGAAAATACAAGGCTTCATTGCTAAAGCTGGGCAGCTACCATCTGCGCTGCTAACCCGACAATGCGAGACTCTCGCACGGTCGGCATCGAACGGCCCCTTGTCTGTGCGGGACCTTATCTTCAGCTCGTCCTTCGGGCAAGGCCCTGAAAATACCGTACTACAACAAACATGCTCTTGTGCTGTGTGGTGAAAAGAAGCACAACTCACACGGTAGGCCTTGCCCGTCAAAACAGACGATCAGTGAGCTGCGTAGTGCTTCATGAACAGTCTCCAGTAGCCGCTGAGGGAAGATTCGTAGTGGCCGGAGAAAGCGAGAAGTCGCTCCTCGTGTGGCGACTGACTCCAGTTTTGAAGGCATGTCTCTCGGCTGTTGTAGTCAAAACACTTTCCACATTGGCCTCTTCCTCCCTGTACGTGATATGACAACCAGGCTCGTCAGGCTGTGCAGAGCTGGAACGATTCGTGCAGAACAGGATCTGGCACTCGTCGCAGCGGGCTGTGTGCACGTCACACTCCATCGTAGATCCAATGGGCTGCATGCGATGCTGCGTGGCACGGTGCTGGTGCACACTTTTGACCTCCTCCTGCCAGGTAAGGTTGCCATGGTGCTTTGGGACAACATAGAAGCCGGTAATCATATGGGCGACAAACGCCATCAAAGTGGCGGCTGCCAGAAGACAAGCGGGCAAAAGCCACACCGTGAAAGCTTGCTTCCGTGCAGTAAACTCCTCAACCTCCATACTCATGTTCTTGGCCAAGCCTTGCGCTTTCCCACGCAACCTGCGCAGCTCCTCGCGAGATTGGGGCATGTCAAGAAGCTTAGCGTGCTTCTGCTTGGAAAGCTGCAGGATCCACTGCTCCAGCGCAGTAATGGCGTCGAAAGTCTCTCGGAGGTCTTGGCGGAGCTCATCACTGGCAGCTGAGTTCTGGCTCATAAACTCGGCATAGGTTGCAAGATCGCGATCAATCCGCCGTATGCCAGCCACATGCGATGTGCGCAGCGTTGCTTCTGTGCTCGCTTGTCCCGCAGTGAGCGGCTGGGCCATGGCAAGGCTACCGAGAGGTAACGCAGTACGTTGGGAGCCTCTGTCCTGGACTGCTGGCTGCAAAAAACGCAAAGGGGGTGTCCAAGCCTCGTTGGTATTGTGAACATGCTTCATCAGGTAACCATAAAGACGCTGACCCATCCTCCCTTGCATCACATGACCCCAAAATCACAGTTCCTCGCCAAGAAAAACTCCATGCTTTCGAGCTGTCTGGCCTGAAAGATAAAACACATCAAGGGATATTGCACCCTTTTTTTTCCACTCAAGACCTTCTTTCCATCACGAGAGGCTTCTTCATCAAGAAATCGCATACATTGGCATACATCTCTTCCCTCCTACGATGAACACTGCCTGATGCACTACTGACTGTTCGGGCTTCTGGTACCCCAAATCCGGAGGAAGCATCCAGCACGTCCAACTGCAAGTAGCATCCTGAGCAGCCGAGCCTTGCTTGCGATCTTCCTCCAGGGCATTTGCTCCTGCGACGACAAAAGGCGGCTTAAGGAATCCCCACATGACGAAAAGCACATGCTCACACTACCGTTGCATTTCCGGGCCTTTTCTCGCATCAGCAGCATGCCGGTGCCAGCCACTTGCGTTTGTGAAATGGCTGTCTGTCCAATACTCTGCTTATGCAAGAACTTCAAAGTGAGCGGTTCTGCATGTGACTTCTCACAAAACACATCAACCTGACCCCCGAAAATACACGGCTTCATTGCTAAAAGGGAGTCGCCACTCGGCAGCTACCACTTGAGCTGCAACTCGACACTGCGAGACTCTCGCACGGTCGGCATCGAACGGCCCCTTGTCTGTGCGGGACCTCGTCTTCAGCTCGTCCTTTGGGCAAGGCCCTGCAAAATATCGTACTGCACACGTCTTAACCCGATGCATACATGCTCTTGCGCTGCATCGCGAACAGAAAGCACACCTCGCAAGTTAGGCCTCGCCCGTCAAAACTGACGTTGAGCTGCCTAGTTAGCCTAGTTCTGCACGTGCTTCATGAACCTTCTCCAGTAGCCGGTAAGGGAAGATTCCGTAGAGGCCGAAGAAAGCGAGAAGTCGCTCAGATCTCGTGTGATGACTGACTCCTGCTCTGAAATCTGACTGGTGCCGCTCTGCCGTTTGTCTCTACTGTCGTAGTTGAAATCGTGCCCGCACTTTCCACATTGGATGTGGTCGCAACCGCTTATCTTCTGATAGGCCATCTGGCACTTTGGGCAGACTCGCACATCCCCCTCCTCACGAAGCTTCTTCAGCGTCTTGAGCACATCTGCTTTGCTTTGATTAACATGGGCACTGTTCTCCTTCAGCTCTTTCTCCAAGTGCTTGATACAATCAGGCTCTTCAGGATGTGCAGGGCTGGAACAGTTCGTGCAAAACAGGAACTGGCAATCTTCGCAGCTGGCCGTGTGATCATCAATCCTGTGGCATGACAAGTTACCACAACGATTCACACACTCCACCGTGGAACCAATGGGCTGGATGCGACGCTGCGTAGCACGCCTCTGGTACAGGGCCCCAACCTGGCTTCTGTGGGAAGGTGTGGTCCGTCAGTCATGCTGTGGTCTGCCGGGGCTTCTGGGGTGTCACGATGTGATCCGTCAAAAGCTTTTGGGAGGTGGCACGTGCGATCTGTCAAAAGCTTTGGGGTTGTTACGGTCTGGTCTATCAAGATCTGTACAGCTGTCGAGGGCGCTTGGTGTATCACGGGGTGCTTCGCAACGTTTTGGGTCACAGTGTGGTCTGTTCAGGGCTTTGAAACGAGACACGCAGCAGTTCCTGGATGAGTAGCGGATTAACTTTTGCAGGACCGAACACACTCAGAGGGTCGGTTCTTCATTTGAGAACTCCGGCCTCGGGCTGGCCGGCCAATTGGCATGCCCTATCGATCTCCTCCTGGAAGAGCTCTTGCTTGCAACCCCCTGGGCAATATGCCGGAAGGTTCTGGTCGGTCCTTGCCTGGATGTACTTCGTAAGGCATTGGGCACAGAAAGCATGTTGGCCACAGTGCATCTCAAAGGATGCCGACGAAGCATTGCAAATCTCACACATGCCGAGAGCTTTGTTGCCAGAACGAGGCTGCTTGCTATCGACTTTCGCGAGCTCATGCTCAAGCTCCAGCTGCTTTGCCAAATCATGTGCCTTCTCCCGTTGCTTCTGCGCTTGAAACAGCAATCTTGATGAATTGAACTGCTCACCTTTGTTTTGCTTCATGAACTCGGCAATTTCATTCTCCTTGGCAGCGATCTTCGTGTAGGTGTCCTGAAGGTCATGCTTCAGCTCCTCGCTGGCGACGCCGTGGCTGTTCAGGTATGTAGCATACTCGTCAAGATCTCTTGCGATTCGTCCAACGTCTTCGGTATACTTGTCATGCAGCACCTTCTTTGCATCCCTCCGCAACTTGCCACTATCTTCACGAACGGACGACTGCATCTGCAGCAGTCTGGACTCAAGCTGCTTGACTTGCGACTCCACGACCTCCATCGGTCGTCCAACCTTCTCCCGGTAGCTTTCCGCCAGCAAGCTGGTGTCTGTCTCGAACAGTTTCTTCGTCTCTTGCTCAAAACTCTTCAGCTCCGAGTCAAAGTTGCGGACGTCGTGCTTGTGGTTGTTCAAGTTGACCTTGATAATCTTGACTTCGGCCTCAACCGCCTTCAGCGCGGGCTTTTCCGATGGATCTTTTGCATCAATCTTTGACAACTTCTTCTTCACTTCGCTGTAGCGGTTCAAGCACTTGTCCAGAGTGACCATATGGCTAGAGATGGTGTCGTACACCTGTCATGTGCCGGAAGTGTGATGATGTGCAGTGGCTAAATCTCAGAGTTCACTCTACTACTCTAAACTGGATAGTCCTTGAAGCTGTTGCATACTAACATCATTCTCCAAGGAGACTATACAGGTAAAGCATGGCCGATAGGAGCCGCATATCTCGGCATCTTGCCTGCATTGGCTGCAACCCTGCCCGTAGTGCTCTCTCTGCTCGCAGCACCTTTGACCTGGATCATTCGGAAAGGCGCAAGCCATTCATGGACATAGGTGACATAGGGTTCGAGCATTCAGGCAGGGTCCTGGTAAGGGTTCCGTGTGACATACAGATTTGGATGCTTCATGTGCGCAAGGGGATCTGTTTGACTCGAACGGTTATCTTCGTTCCAATACTGATCCAGCAGCAATCGGTCCAGGACCTTCTGATCCACATCGTCCGACTGCAAGTTCAAGAGAAAGAAGAACCTGAGCAGGTCTACTGCCAAGATCCTTCATACCACAGAGACGCATGAACAAGGCGAGGTTGTTCAGCCGTGGACGAAATCAATTCTTAGCGGTCCTCTTGCATGTTGTAAGGATCTAGCAAAAAAATTGCGCTGTGACGTGTCTCGAAGCTTGCTCTCTTTATATCCTGCACTGAATATTGTCACATGGAGGAGACAGCAAGCCCTGCATATCAGATGTATTAAGTGCTTCAAAGGATGCTTTCAACAGCTGACTGAGGTACAATTTCTGCCGAAAGGTGTCGGGTAACTACGGAACCCAGTCAAGTTTTCATCCCGACTCAGAAGAAGCAATGCCAAGGTACAGGTAGCAGTTCTTGTTCTGGGCGCTGGTGCGAGTCGCGGATACAGCCTGACCGATCTCGTCCCACATGGCTTCATCCTGAATCGTTGGGAGCTGCTCTCGGGACTGTATTGGACCCCCATACAACAACAAGTAGTCCACAAACTCACTAGTCTTGCACTCTTGAACGAAACCGAGCATGCATGAGCTATTTCCTGACAATCGAAATTCAAAGCCTTGCAGAAGACAACCAAAGAGGTCGAGCAGCCACCTGGTGCAGCCCATCGGTGATGATCACGCAGTATCTTCCACATGTCAGCATTTGATCGAACAGGGACCTGCTCCATGAAGCCACGGGACGTCTGAAGGTAGGCAATCACCGCTTTTGGAATGTTGGTGCCCGACTCTGCCGGGATAAACAGCGACTGCACGGCCTTGCTGAATTCAGCGCGCTGGGGTGGCGACTCCATCCCTGAAATCGGCACAATGAGGTAGGGCTTGGTGGTGAAGGCCATCAGCCCCGCCATGTTGGCATCCGAGCTTTCCAAGAACTTGCTGCAAATCTGGCTTTTTGCATCTTCGAGCTTCGCGTGCATAAAACCTGACACGTCCACTAGGGGAAAGAGCAATGACATTTTGCCCGAGAAGTTCGGCGGCGACAGCTTCGGCACATGGAGGACTTCCTTGAACTCAGGATTCCCCATGTAGAGTCCTCCAAGGATATGATATCGGGTTTATGGTTTGAAGTTTAACGTGTTCGGCCTACGGTTTATAGGGGTCAGCGAGCTGTTGAAAAAAAACCTAGGTGCGGGTTAAAAGTTATGAACATTGTGAACATATCACCTGGTACTTTGGGAACAGGAACGGGCACCTAACTGCTAAAACCGCACCTCCACATCCTGCATGCTCGAAACCTATGGACCCGTCTTGGGGGGCCCAGCTCGCAACCGATGTGGGATCGGAGTTGGATTCTGGCTTTGCAGAGTACGTATGCATGTGTGCATATGTACGTTTATGTGTATAAAAACACCTGCATACATGGAAAAACTCTATGTGTGTGTGTGAGTGAAAATCTCTATGTGTGCACGTATATATGTATATCTGCATGTATGCATGCATGTATGTATCTAAGGTCTGTCCATGCTGTGGGCATATGAAATCAGGACGAAGCATGGCTCGCCTCTGAGGGACATGTCCTACCGGTACCCAAAACCTAAACCCTAAACCCTGAACCCTAAACCCTATGCAAACCCTGAACCCTAAACCGTTAAACCTTATCAAGTCCAACTCCTCGTGATGCTGCTATTGCTGCTTGTGAGTTTTCTGATTGCTGTTGCTGTTGCTGTCCCGCGAAGCTTCTCGAAACAGTTTCACACACTTCCATGCTCTGGAGTATGCTAATAAACATGCCGAGAGATGTTACGACGCACATGGTCTCATTCCGACAGCTCTTCTGAGACTCGCGAAAGTGATGACAGTTCATCCGCAGACTCTCCTTTAGTCCTCCTGCTGCTGATCGCCCTTACAGCTGTAGTGTTGTTTCTGTGTCAGCTCTCCCTTGAGCGCCTTCCGAAAAGCAATCAAACACTCAAAGCTGAATGTCCTCAAGGCAGCTCCGTCCCCAGGAAAACTGAATCAAAGGCCGAAGCAGAAACTACTGCAAACCGAAAAAGAAGCTTCATGCTCTGTAGCCTGACCCTGCACAGCTTACCCCCTCATCCGAAGTGTGGTCTCCGTCGCCGTGAACAGATCGCATTGGAGACATCTGGCTGCCTACGCGACTCGGGTTTAGGCCTTCAGGGTTTAGCTGACTAGGGCTGTAGGAACTTGGGCTGGAGGGCACTTCGGAGGGATAGGACTTGCGGCCCGAACGCTTATGATGTCGGGGCTTGAACCTGCTTTAGGCTTTGAAATCAAGGTGTTGCTGGCTCCAGAATGTGGCTGCGAGTCACGAAAGAGCATGAGTCGCGCAATCGCGCGTGTGACAGTTGGCTCCTTGATCATGGAGTTACTGTGCGCTTATGTGCATGCCATCGAACGCCCATGCCATGACCCATCGAAAGACAAACTAGCCATCGAAAGATTAACTAGCCATGCCGAGAGCTCATGCATCCTCGTCACAGTATCGAGTTCACAGAGTTCAACTTTTAGGGGTGGTCTTGCGAATTTAACCCCCATGTTGCTCTCTTGAGATCTCAGACACGTATCGTAGGCTTCCTGGGGTTGCACTCAAGTCGCCTTGGCCCCGATGGCCGATTCCTACAGGCACCAAGCGAATGCTAAATCCTGAACAACTCCTCGCCTCTCTGCAGACCATCTGGGACCTGGCAGAAGCAAGCAGGTTTGTGTTTCAGGTCCGAGTCGATCCGAAATCTACTCTGGGGATCCAGACAATGCAGGTTTGGAAGTGTAATTATTGGCATTCGGTTCGCCTATCAGGAAGGATGTGACAATGAGCACACCAACTTACACGTCATGCGGATATTCATTGTGGGCCCACAGACTCGTAGACATATGCAAACGAGCCTTCTCTGGCAAGTTACATGCAATTTCATGTCGACCACAGGTAACCCCCAGCCGGTAACCCAACCTGAAACTCTAAACCCCAGATTCTTTTCCTTCCCCACTGATCTTGACACCCTCCACCTAAACCCTAAACCCTATAAGCTCTATATAAGCCCTTAAACCTTGCTCCTGAGCCCTAAACGGACCCTCACCTGCCCACTGTGTCCAGGCTTCGAGTTGTCGGCTCCCATCTGAAAACCGCTGCGGGCTACAGGAGCCTGGACTCTTGACTGCTTGAACCGAAAGTGCTGCCAGGGTAAGGGTTGACAGGGCACACCAGCAGGTGCATCCTCAAGAAACTGCAGACTCCTACTCTACCTGTTCGTCGGGATGACGCGTCCGGCGCCAAGGCAAGAACTGAGCACGACCGCGGATCTGATCCGAGACCCTCCATCTACCTTTTACTATGCCCTGAATACCTACAATTATATGAGACACTGGCCCTTTATTTGTAGGCTTAGGGTACATGGAAGGTCCTGCATGTGTAGATCCAACGAAGGATCAAGGAATGAACTGAGCCCTCTCTGTTGGCGTCATCGGATGTCCTTCTGCCCGGCTACAAGCTCCTGCCTCTCGGTCTCTACTAGGCCCATCATCCGGCACCCGGGGCAAACAGGACAACTGCAGCGCCCACACTCGAAATGCCTCGGAACTTGCTACACAAGTTCGACATGCACTTGCACCCATGGCCATTGCAAAAAAAAAATCAATTTCGACCACGCCCGTCGACCCATCCCCCCGCCCGTTGGCTTGAAAGGTCCTCGGGATGTCCGCGCCGGCGCGCCCGTGGCCCATGGCAGCCCTGGCAGCAGGCAAGGGGTGTGGGGTTAGTTGGGGCGCAAGAGTCAATAAAAGACCTAGGAACAGGTGCCCTAATTATTTGGAGTCGTTGGGGTCCACTCCTCGGGGCTGAATGCATATAGGAACAGTGGCTTTAACTGGAACCAGTACGGTCGAGGTGGGTTCCGGGATGTAGAACTTCCCGTTTAGAAGGCACCAACCTCAACCGAAACCCTCGTGGCTTCAGGGGCCAACCATGGGTTTGCTGGTTGAGGGCGGACAGTTGAAGCATGCATGGCTTCTTCGGTGTGTGTAATATATCGGACATTGGGGTGCACTTAGACTCACGAGTTTCGACGAAAGCCATCCTTGGACTCTTCAAGGAAGGCTGAGTCCGAGTCCGCACCCGGGGCTTTCAACAGATCTCAGGCTCCAAAAACCGATAAGGCAGGTGAGTCCCAAACCAGCTCCCAGACCTCAAAACCTCCCAAAACCGCTTGATGCCCCGACATGCATCGAAATAGAAAAGAGCCATCAAGGATGCCGATGTTCGAAGTGCAAGTCCTGATTAACACTATCGGCCGCGACAACATCCGACTTCTGACTACAACGTCTCGCACGCCGCCCTCTTCTCCCACGATGATTCCTCAGGCCAAGCGGCGCGAAATGACCGGAAGCCGCCAAACAAAGTGGTCGGGTGGCAGAAACGAGGAAAGTGATCCGAAGCCTGCACAACACGCCAAGACAGTAAGCGAAGCCCGATAAGCATCTCGAATCCGAACAAGCTGAGCACCACAATCCGCAGCAGAACTGCACAACCGAAAAACCCCTCCGACAGAACAAGTCTCGGGTCAGACAAGTACGTACGTCATTGTAAAACCCAAAATGGCTCAGGTGTATGATATCCGGTCTGTAGGTTGTTGCATCTGAAAGTTTGGACTGTCTGTCTGTTCGTCTTCACATACAATTCATGTCTAGCCACGTCTGACACCTCATACACTGGACCCGACCTCCAGTCCGGCAAGTGCCCCAAGGCAGCAAAATATGCACACTCACTGCACCCTCTTCTGCTGATTGCCGACCGGAGTCTCTGTAAAGGGAACTACATTCTGACATGTTTTGCAAAACCTGCTCAAAATGCCGACGGGGCGTCATTGGGGCTCCACAAACATCCGCAAACGTCTACAAAGCCTTACTGACAACAGCACTGTACCCAAAATCCACGACGCCACAATGTCCGTGGCCTAGTAAACAAGTGCAAGCCTCCTTTGGCAAGTTAAGACCATTTCTGCCATGATCCGTGGAAGCTGATGTAAACCCGACGGCAAGCCCTAAACCCCAAAATCTACACCCTAAAAACGACTGCGGTAGACTACCATCAGGCTTCAAGGATGTTGGTGGCCCTTAGTGAACTTCCGAAGCACCTGAAACTCCACATCCCCCATCTTCGGTCGGTCAGACATGAATTACATAAAACTTTCTACTGGCCTAACATGGCTCGAAGGCTTCTAGGAGCTAAGCCCTGCACGGTCCCTGAACCCAATTGAACCTTACATGCTTAACCGGCAAAAGCAAAACCAGGTGACCGGGCGGAGTCCTTGCGAACTCCCGCACATCTTCACCTCCGCAAGCAAGGCCCAAGGCCTCGAGTTGAGCTGACAGTTTGTTTAGGCCTCCTGTTGCGTTTAAGTGTTTGAGGCTTCGAGGGCTCGCTTGGAGTTTGGGGGGGGGTTGTAGCGGGCCACCGGGAATTTTCGACTTTGGGCCGTCCAAGGGCAGTTGTTGGGTCGTGGCCGATTCGGCTCGGTCAGGGTCTCGCAAGCCTAGCGTCCTCACATTCGGATTTTTAGGGCTAGGGCCTCAGGGCACTTCTATCCTTGTCGCTGCCCTTCTGGGCATGCAGCAGCACCATCAGCACCATCGTCCTGAGGATCACGGTCAGGGTGAGGCCATCGGATGTGAGGTTCCAGTTCACGACAGGCTTGTGAAGGGTGCTGGACAAGTTCGCTAAAGATTCCCATTTCCAGAGCTGGGTTGGAATCACAAACCGTCGCTCTCAGACACCCGCAAAACAAGTAGGGAACCAAATCCCACGCGACATCAATGCTGAGATCTCTGCGTCTGCCAACTTGCAAAGTAAGATCCTGAAATCTGAAATCCCGAGCCAAGCCCTAAACCCGAA